AATAAAGGTGAATCCTGACCAAAGGCGAACAATAAAGGCCTAAACAAAGCAGAGGTGGCTGCAAAAGTCCTGGGTGAATGTAACAATATAAGACAGGACTACAGAATAAATAAATTACATTGTTTTCCAATAAAACAATCTGCAGAGATATTCAGATTCTTGTGTTAGATCTATTTTTTAAGTCATCGTAAGTATTGCGACTACGCAGTATAAAATTGTATTGTGTTGTCATAACTGATTTAAATACATGAAATATTTAATTGTTCAGTGAACGTTTTAATTACTCACCACATCAGAATTAGTGACAATGCACAACCTGGTCTAAACGTGCTCAAAATGATTGTTTGGTTCTGAAGATCAGAATTTAAAGTAGAAATACAAAAACCCACAAAAACTGTGGTAGCACTATAAAAAGTGTTTTCATAGACAATCACGATGGCACGGTTAAAAGGCAAGGAAAAAACAGTAATCCCGTTCAAATCTATCCGCCGTTTCCTTTCATCGACGTTGAACAGCCTGATCAGAAGCGGTTATTCCGTATTTCAGTTGCCGTGGGTTAGTTGGATTTCATGAGCATCAAGTTTTTCCATATATAAGTCACCTTATGCTGCATTAAAAAGCACAAAATAACTACCAAAAGCATTGATTTAGCATTCTCTGTTTTGTAGTGTTCACGTTGGCTCTGTTGTTACTTCGTAATTTGATATGTGATCTTAACTGCTGTAGTAAACCTCAACGAAATGTCAAGTCACCGGTAAATCCTAAGTATTTGTAGTATTTCCTTGTGTTATTATTGTTGCAAGGAATAACATTTTTATAATTAATGATCTCTGTTTGTAGTGCTTCATGCTCAAGTGACATTTCAGTCGACCTTAGCCATGCCTTTCAAAGTATGATTGTGAATAAACATTTAGCTTGCTGGGATGACTTTGATAGCTCACTAAAAGATTTCCAAAAAGTATAGAAGAGTAATTTTATCCCTCCTCAAACTACTTATACTCGTTACATCCACACAGAAAACAAGTTGCTGAAGGATGTCAGGTTCAAATACCTGTTTGTAACGTTTCACTGTACATTTGGTCATCAGCGTGATAATGTCACAGGTATTCAGTGTTTGACAACGCTTCTACCAGTAACACCTTCTAATATATTTCGTTACCGCCCAGAGAAATCAAAAGACAGAGTCGAGGAGATCGGAAGAGTATATTTGGCGATGACCAATATATCGGAATTCTCTGATCTAATCTGGCTAGCGATTGCGGTTGATGTTGAGCACGGCGTTACCACACGTGATCTGGTGCAGATGCCTGACCGAGCGCCTTCAGCTAGATGAGTCCACTAAAACATATGGTCAGCATCCAATGTCGAAAACTTACAGAGCTATTTATTTTAGGGATTTATTTACCGCTACAGATCACTCCCCCCCTAGTGGGGCAGTGACGACCCTAAGACGTGGCCAGCCAGAAGTTTAAACCCAACGAGTTTGTCGTTGGTAAACACTCTTCTGATAGCTTACTAAATTTAGCAGCGTCTGGTCGTCTTTCCTTACTATATGAGACGGAGGTACAACATAGTAAACAAAGAAAATGTACAATGAAAAGTTCGGATCCTCATAAACGTCATCGTTCTTTTCCAGCCGTCCTGGAAAAGAAAAAAGAAAATGTAAGTGCATGTCGAAATACACTCGTATGTGCGTAAAAACACAATGTCGGCGGAAAAAAAATGGAAAATAAACTCATGAACACGTAATAGCGTTTAAAAAAATTGATTTTTTTGGTTTTGTTCTTTTTTAGATAGAAATAAAAATATATAAGCATATTAAAATTGTTTTTTTTTAAAAAAAAATAATATAAAATTTCGAGAAGTGCCTTACGTGCAATAGTCGTTTAAATGTTCTGGAAATCTCACCCTTCTTCCAGAACGCGTCGTTTTAAGTTTATTTTCGGATACTGTCGAAGTATCACCGTGTGTGTTGGTTGTCGGATGAGGTATTATAAGTGTCCGAGTCGTGTCGTTCGATTGTACCGAAGGAAAATCCACGTAAATAGGATTTCCTTCTAAATACGCTGCTTTTAAGCAATCGATGCTGATGCTATCGTTGGTTCCGTTCTTATCGACTATATAGTACTTAGATTCACGTTGAAGAACTTTGAAGGGTCCTTCGTATGCTGATTCGAATGGTCGTCGATGCGAGTCTCGACGAACGAAAACGTGTGTACTATATCGTAAGTCAGGTTGAACGAAAACATCAGTTGATTGTGGTCGAGTGGAAGCAGGTTTAACTGAACGCATTGCGTTTGTAAGCCTGTTCGTGTAGGAGGTTAGATCCATGTTCATTGAAGAGGATGAAGGATCCACGAATTCTCCTGGAAGTCGAAGTGTCGTACCATAAACGAGTTGAGACGCAGTGTATCCAATGTCAGCTTTCACTGCATTGCGGATACCTAGTAAGACGAGTGGAAGAGCGTCGGTCCACTGTGAAACGTTTGCAGCTGATAGCGAAGCTTTCAGTTGTCGGTGAAAACGTTCTACCAACCCGTTTGCTTGTGGATGGTAGGCGGTCGTTCGGAAGCGAGTGATTCCTAAAAGTGTGGTCAGACGACGGAAAAGATCGGATTCAAACTGACGTCCGCGGTCTGTAGTGATGGTTGAAGGGCAGCCAAAGTTTGCTACCCATCGTTCGACGAAGGTGCGAGCCACTGTTTCAGCAGTGATGTCCTTGATAGGTACTGCTTCTGGCCATCGAGTGAAACGGTCTACGCGGGTTAAGAGATAAGAGTATCCATTTGAATCTGGTAAAGGTCCTACCAAATCCAGATGAACATGGTCGAAACGAGCATCGGGAGTTTTAAACGAGCCTAAGGGACATTTATTGTGTCTGATAACCTTAGATTTTTGGCAGCTTACACAGGAGCGTGCCCACTCCCTCACGTCTTTATTCATTCCAGGCCAGCAAAACCTTTCTGCTATAAGCTTGATGGTTGCACGAACACCTGGATGCGAAAGTTTGTGCAATGTGTTGAAGACATTGCGTCGATAATGTTTCGGCACGATTGGGCGATCCCTACCTGTAGATGTGTCACAAAGTAAGGTTTCCTTACCTGTTCCCATCTGTTTGATGCGTAGTTTAAGTGTTGTGGACGATAACTCGTGCTGAAGATCACTGTCTTCTTTTTGAAGCTGGGCGAGTTTAAGAAGGTCGATTCCTTGGAAACTGTTCAAGGAAGTTATACGAGATAAAGCGTCTGCAACTACATTGTTTGCTCCAGAGACGTGTTGAATATCTGAGGTAAACTGTGAAATGTAGTCCAGTTGTCGAGACTCACGGGGAGAGTACTTGTCAGAAGGAGAGCTTAACGAGAAAGTGAGCGGTTTATGGTCCGTGAAAAGAGTGAATTCACGACCTTCGATGTAGTGTTGGAAATGCCGTACAGCACAATACATAGCTAGGAGTTCCCTACCGAATGTGCTGTACCTCGATTCGGTGTCTAGCAACCTTCTAGAGGAAAATGCCAAGGGTTGCCAGGAGTTGTTAACCCATTGTTGTAAGACTCCTCCGATTGCTGAGTCGGATGCGTCTACTGCGATGCTAATGGGTGCTCGGGTGTCCTGATGTGCGAGCATTGTTGCTTTAGCAATCAGTTCCTTAACTGTGGAGAATGCTTTTCGTGCGGTGTCGTCCAAATTAATGGATTTCGCATTTCCACGAAGTTGGTCGGTCAGAGGTTTCATAAGTAATGCGCATTTGGGTATGAAACGTCTATAGAAACTTACCAGGCCGTTAAACGTGCGCAATTGCTTGACGGTGGTCGGTTCTGGGTAATCCAGAATGGCCGCCACTTTGGTCCTAAGAGGTCGAATGCCTTGAGCATCGATAGTGTGTCCTAGGAAGTCTAACGAGTCGGTTCCGAATTGGCATTTCTGAACGTTTACAGTTATGCCATGTTTTTGAAGTCGTTCGAAAACAAGATCCAGATGCTTGAGATGTGTTTCTCTGTCCGGACTTGCGATTAGACAGTCATCAACATACACGTGTACGAAGTTGAGGCCTCGAAAAACGTCGTCTATGAATCTTTGGAATGTTTGAGCAGCATTCCTTAGACCGAAAGGCATTCGCAAAAATTCATAGAGTCCGAAGGGAGTTATGATAGCCGTTTTCGGTATGTCGTCAGTAGCCATAGGGATTTGGTTATACGCTTTAACCAAGTCGATTTTCGAAAAGACAGTTGTACCTTTCAAGGTAGCTGTCAAATCGTGAATGTGAGGCAACGGGTAACGATCGGGAATGGTTTTCAAGTTCAATCGCCGATAGTCACCAGTTGGACGCCAATCGTTGCTGTCCTTTTTAGGGACCATGTGCAACGGAGATGCATATGGGCTACTTGACGGTCGTATGATTCCTAAGTCCATCATGTGATCGAATTCGTTTTTCGCTAACCTTAGCTTTTCAGGAGCTAGTCGGCGTACTTTAGAAAATACAGGTGGTCCTGTAGTCGTGATGTGATGTGTAACATTGCTGGTTACACACGGTAGTTTCGTTTGAGTTTGTTGTATCTCAGGGTACTTATCGAGTAGTGGTTGATAGAGTGGGTCTATCATATGTTTAACTGTGACTGGGGATACTCTGCAACCAGTAAAAGAAGTTACGCAAACGGACAAATTAGTGTTACCGTCTACTAGCCTCCGTTTGCGCGTGTCGATGATCAGATTGTGGTGTTGTAGAAGATCCACACCAATGATTGGCATAGAAACATCTGCAACAACGAAAATCCAGTGGATGGGTTTGCGTAAACCCACGTTAAGGTAAACGTACCTTTTGCCATACGTAGCGATCGGTTTTCCGTTTGCCGCCTGTAAGTTTAGGGTCGATTCGTGTAGTCGGTCGTTAGGATTTGCTGGGAGAACGCTAACTTCTGCGCCAGTGTCGACGAGGTAGCGAACTCTCGTTGTCACATGTGTGACGAATAACAGACGGCTTTGTTCGCCGGCTACGGTTGCCGTTAACGCGTGCCGGCTTGGAAGTTTCCCGAATTGCTTTTCGAATCAGTCGGTTTCGTGTTGGGAAAATTGCAGGGTTTCCTGCAATTTCCGGAAAACTTTCCATACTGGTTATGATACCAGCACCAGTCGGGGTTATCTGTCTCTCGTGGTCTAGAGACAGATCGCTTACGAGAAATGCTTCTACGTGGTGTGCGCGATCTCTTACGGTCGGTACGAAGACTAAGATAACGCGTGAGTGTGTGACATAAGTCGTTTATATCATTCTGAGTCGTTTGAGGTTTTTCTTTGACTGAAAATACCTCGGTAGTAGATTTCGTAATTTCTAAAATGCGGTCGGCAGATGCAGCTAGTTCGTCTAAGGCGTTGTTCTGGAACGAGACCAGAACTGCTTGCACCTGTTGGGGAAGTTTTGACAAGAAGAGTTGTTTGAATAGGCCTTCGTCGAAAGTTCTTGGGCCTATAACCTCTCTCATCCGTTGCAACATGTCTGTCGCAGAACCGTGTTGCAGGTCGATATTGTTGAAGAGTTGATCTAACCTTTGTCGATCGGTTAGGTCTCCTCGTTTAAGAATCGAGCGTTTTAAGATTTCGTAAGGATCGGAAACATCACTAGTAAACATACTAGGTGTTACGTACCTGTTGAATTCGCGCGGTAGTGCCTTGACTACTGCGAGGAATTGTGCACGTGTGTCGATCACGCCGTGCTCGGAAAAGTCGGCTTCTGCGTAGCAAAACCAGGCTTCGATGTTGTCGGGCCAGAAAGGCATCAGTTGAAACGAAGGCGGGGACAAAGTCTTAAGCTTGAGTACTTTAGGTGTTTGTTCAGTCATGATGAAGTATGAAGTACGATAATGAACGAGGGGAAAATATATATATCCAGGAAAAAATACGAAAAAAAAAATCACAATGTTTAAAAAAATAAAAAAATAAGGCAATGATATATAAAAATCCCAAAAAGGAACAGACTCACAGTTGCAATTAGGTGTACCAGATCACGACGGTCTCACCAATGATGATGTCACAGGTATTCAGTGTTTGACAACGCTTCTACCAGTAACACCTTCTAATATATTTCGTTCCCGCCCAGAGAAATCAAAAGACAGAGTCGAGGAGATCGGAAGAGTATATTTGGCGATGACCAATATATCGGAATTCTCTGATCTAATCTGGCTAGCGATTGCGGTTGATGTTGAGCACGGCGTTACCACACGTGATCTGGTGCAGATGCCTGACCGAGCGCCTTCAGCTAGATGAGTCCACTAAAACATACGGTCAGCATCCAATGTCGAAAACTTACAGAGCTATTTATTTTAGGGATTTATTTACCGCTACAAGCGGAAATCGGAAGGTTTGAAATTGAAGCAAAAATCGTGAGGTCTTTAAACAATATCTGATGTTGAAGGCTTAAATTCCGTTATTGCCAATTTAAGTTTCGTTTAAGACTAGAGGAGTAAGGATATGTCATCAAATCCTACAACATGCTCCACAATCATCCATGTAGTAGTTCATGGATGGTTTGTAATCCATGGACAAGAAGATTGTCATCCGAAGAAAAAGAAGACTTGAAGCCAGTAATATCGCACTGTCAGTCAGCAGATGAAGTTATAGAAAGTATTAAAGAGAGAACTGGCAAGCAGGTTACCGCACTCGAATTATTTGGCTAACTGAGAATTCCCGAAATAGTGCACTTTAAGACCGTAGAACGAGATCATCGCAAATGACGTGTTATATTTGAAATTCGTAAAAAACGCTTAATCAAGTACACAGAAATTGTTAGTTCGTAGGAATAACACAACAACCACAATCCAAATGGGAAGCCAGACACACGTCTTCTCCTTAGGTCTGTCAAGTGTTTTTCCGGCTATGTATTGGGTACAGACTCTTTATAATCTGAAATGTAATCACGAGTATTATAATTAACAACCGAAATCAGAACGAACTGACCCGAATCCTTATAACGTATCCGGTTGTAGTGACAGTCTTTCTCATCAACCATAGATTTATCAACATTTTTTAGTAGACCTTCCTTTTATTGTAAGAAATCGGTTATCTGATAGTATGTAACATCTATAGACCGTTAACGTTCCTTGTTTAACCGAAATCGTTTTTGTTTAAGCAATTGAATTAATGTTTCTTTTGCGTACGGTCTGCTAATTATGCACTGAAAGACTTTATCTGCTCTACTATCCGGGCCTCTGAATCCTGCAGCAGTAATATAAGTGATGTTTGTTTTCAGGGTCATGAACTCTCGTACTTGTGCATCGTAATGAGAGGGCTTTGAAGTCATGAGTAATTCTCTTCACTTCGATTCCGTAGTTAAAGTTATCAAGCATTTCATTAGAACCATCTTCAGTGGTCAATATGGAAAGCTTTCCTTGAAAAATTCTTAAATTTCCTTGGCCCAAGATAAGTGGTCCACAACCAATGGTGGGGAATTCACAAGTTAGGATTGAAGATTTACTATCTCTAATCAGCAAATATCCATTTATATTTACTAGTTCCTTTATTACAACTTTACATTTCTTTACAAAACCTCTTTTCATTCCCCGTCAATAAGCCAATCGACTTTCCTCGTTGCTGGGGTTAGACTATGATAATATGGATGCAGAAATAGTTTGTCATAACCATGAATTCGGCCTGATAATCTTTCAACCTTTTTTTGACCCAACTGTTTCCATATTATATAAACTTCTCGCCTTAATTTACAATCATCGCTTCGTTTACCTGAACTTCCAAGTGCCATTTATTAATTTTCAGATGAGATCTCTTGGTAAGTATATGTATGACCAAACTGCTGAAAATGTATGGCTTCAATGCATCACATTTTTCGAATTAATTTCCGCTTCGTATTATTGTGTTGTGATGTACTTCTGGAACTAGATAGTTCACCTAGGAACTTGCATCGTTGTTTTTGACAGAATCACTGTTTTCTTACTTCGAAGCTGTGAATTAACATGTTCTGATAACTTTGCCTGTTTACTAAAATACGTTTGTTTGTGTGCAATCATTAGATCTAACCAGAAGGTAATTTGTGTACCTAAGGAAACATGGGGAGTAGTTGTGATATTTGTAAGTATGTTATTATAGTATGAACTAAGAATCTCAGAAATAACGTAATCGGATCAAGAAGTACTAGATAACCACAAACGAATGTACTGTATTTAGAATTCGAAACCAAGCATTCAATAAGTTCAAACGAATCATTAGTTCATTCAAACTCCACATCCGTCACAGCTTAAATTGGAGTCTAAGTGTCTATAATCGATAGTTCATCCTGTGTCTGTCCGACATTGTATTGGATAAAAACTCGGTAGTATCTAGAATGTCCTCATTAGCATTAGAATTAACAACCGAAATCGGAACAGATTCACCTGCTTCCTGGGATTGTGTAATCAGCATGTTGGTTGTGTACTGAAACCGCTGCTACCTAGAATTTGAACCATAGACTTTTAGACTATCCTCGCACACGAAATAATTTTGGATCTTTATATCCCCAAGTTATGAATGATGTGACTTCATTTAAAACATTTTTCACACATTGACTAGAGTAAACATCAGAAGTGACTTTGTGATAAGGATAAACAGCAGTTGATATGAAATCATCCGAATTGTAATCAAAATCGAGCTCATTTAGTATTTGTGCTTCGCACCGAACAAGTTTCACACAAGAAACAAATGCATTATGAGGACAAATAATATTTGGTAGAACATCAAGATTTGATTCTTCTGAAATAGTTTTCTCGCATTTATTAAGAATGTCATTGCAGAGTAAAGGATCATTAGAAAAATCAGCATCCATCAAAACTACATCAGGTTTTCGATCATGACTAGGTTGATTCAACATATTTTCCTCAGATTTATAAGGAATTTCGTCAGAAATAAGTGAATCATTAGGAAAAACCATATCTGGTACAATAACATGAGAAATCCGATAAGTTGATTGATTAGAATCTGTTGTCTCGCAAGAATTCTTAGTTTCATTTAACTCTGAACTGCTATATGACTCTACACTGTCTTTTGAAATCGGTGATAAGGATAAATAATCATTAGGAACACTAGACTTAATAGAATCAGAGTTACAAGACTTAATATTAGTTGCAGCAAGATGAACAGTAGTATTACAAACTGACTTAATATGTTCAATATCACCACATTTAAAGCACCCAGAATTACGAAATTTACATGAATTGAAAAAGTGAAATCTGCCACACAAGACAAACATTAACCAAACTTGCGCCCATCTTCGTGAACTGTATCGCAACTCCTCAATGAATTATCTGCATAACCCTGAGTATGCACTGGGTTGGGATGACGTAATGCAATGGAATTTTTTGTATCCTCATTAATCAGTTTACGAAATCATCCTCCTTTACCGCATTCGAAATTTGTATACTTAATATAGTCTAGCAGTAGTTCCTTGAGAGCTGTATAAGGAAGCTAAATGGGCTTTTCTGGTAAAGCCAGAGATTTTAATAAGCTATATGCTTTTCTTCCGATGAATCTGAGGAAATGTGCTACGATATTGACATCGTCATCTTCCTTGGCCATAGCCTAGATTTCGAACCTTTCAAAGTAATCCTCAAAAGCATCAAAATCTGAGTGTACATCCAACAATTCCATCACAGGCTCCATCGCGACGCTAATGTAATATTTATAAGTATTTGAATTATAGTATGAACTAAGAATCTCAGAAATAACGTAATCGGATCAAGAAGTACTAGATAACCACAAACGAATGTACTGTATTTAGAATTCGAAATCAAGCATTCAACAAGTACAAAGTTATCATCAGTTCATTCAAATACCACAGTAGTGTGGGAGAGGAGAGCTAGAAAAGAGAACAAAAGAAATGGTGAGTCAATAATCCAACAAACACACACAAGGTACATACATTTATTAAAGAAAAAATAAACAACAATCAACACTAACACAATGCTCAGATTAAGGTAATTTTGGAATGGAAACTGGAAGCACATAGTTGAACCCGCTACAAGCTCACTCATTTATACCGTCCGGGTTCAGAGAACATAAAACATCTGAAATAAATTTTATGCTTACTTCTTCTCTAGCTAACTCGGTAGCAGCTTAGGAAATCACACTTTCCTATGGGATATATTATCTTGTTGCTTTTCGATAACTTTATTTTAGATTGAAAACTCAGCCATCCTTCCATGAATGAAGGTTATATTTAACGGATATCATATTTTAAGAGAAATAATCTTGTATTTGTAATTTAGTTAAGATTTAAAATGATAACTGCCTTGACTACGAAAAAACTTAAAAAATTTAACTTCTCCTTCGAAAATATCTATGAATTCATCTTGTTCAATGGAGATAAATTTCTTGTAATATCTGAATAGATAAATTTACCATTGACTGATCAAAACACTTAAGTCATGATAACTAAATGGTATAATTTAAAGTAACATATGTTCAAATATCAAATACAAGCAATTACTTTCTTTTTACAAATTTTAAAGAATAATTATAATGACTTATTGTTTTTGTACACATAACGGAGAGGGGGTTTAAATTTACGAATAGCCATGGCTTCAATAAACTTGAGAATTCGTTCTTGAAAATTTCTATACAACGTTTTAAAAGCTGTATTAATGTCAATTTTGTGCCCCATTTCAATTATATGTTTCGCTATCGATGAACATGGTTTTCTACCTCCCACATTGATCGGATCATTTGATACTAATTGGTTTTGAAGCCATCTGGGCACATGTTCAATGACCCTTGATTGCATTGTTAGATTACTCCTGCCTACGTCTAGATCTCTTTGAAATCATGGGCTTAGACTTTTCAATCACAACCAAGTGAGCAGCATAATAGGTATTCTCGATGGCTGCTTTCAAGTTCTGTCTCAAAACTACACCGTTGGATTCACCTCTATATGATAGATGGATATTATATATATATATATATATATATATATATATATATATATATATATATATATATATATATATATATATATATATATATATATATATTTTTTTTTTAGAATATCCGGAACAACAAATGCGCAGAACATATTACTGACAACAAACTATAATTTTTGATATTCAAGTAAATGTATAATTATTATCCATTTGTCGAGTTAATGTTTCTCTACTGAATTGCTTGTTTTGTTTTCAAAAAAAGTAAACGTATTGAAAGTACCATTGAATTTCTACTGGTTCACTGCATAATTCTTTGTATGTTTGTTGATTTGAACAAACAAAACGAAGTATAAACATGCTTGTAAAGGAAGGTTTTTATAAAAAAAACACTAGGATAAAGGAAAATATACCTGAACGACAGCTTGTATAAATTTTAATAAACATCATAATACCTGTATATTCTTGTACAATTTCTGTGAAATTAAACTGCACTGAAAGTTTCATACAAACTTACAACAAAAATACTAGGTCATATGGAATATTTCTCATTATGTTGATTGATTACACAAACAGAATATAAGGTGGAAACGAATAAACTTCGAAATATATCTTTGTATTTAAAAAGATTGTTCCTGTTGGAATACTTAGTAGAAGTTAACGGTGAAACTATAACTTATGGACTACCTTTGAGCGAAGCTTAAGTGACCTTGAGAGTTTACACCTAATAATTAAGACGAAAACGAGGGTTATAAACTGGTGCAAGGAATTGAGATTATGAATTGCAGTTGATGGTTATGATTGGGAATTAAATTTAGGGTTTTCATCACAAACCGACATCAATAATAATGTCGAAACTCTATTTAGCCAAAGAGACGAGTGAATTTCGTGCAAAAATCCGAGACCTGTTATCTTATGTCTGATTGGTTCGTCCATAAATTATTCACTAGAAATATTAGGAACATTTCTGAGGAAAGCAATGTGCAATCGGATGTCAAATTTCTTCGAAAACTTAAGTTGGAGAAATGATGATAGATTTTTCAAAAAGTTACATTAAAGCGAATCAATACCTCAAGTCAAGGTAACAGATAGTGTTAGATAAAATATCTACCCCCAAAAACGAAAGTTAATTATCTGAGGTCCTTAAGACCAGTATTTAGCATTATATATTATGTTATTTATTTTGAAGTGTATGTGAAATTAACTGTAATTTATTAGTATGCAATCGTTTAATATAATATATGTATTCGCCTTATATTCATTATGATAACTTCGGATTAGACTTGAATTTCCTGACTGTTCAAACATTGCATTTGACCATATAGATTCTCGGGAGCGTTTGCTATGCCTTCTGATTCATCAAAGTATTGACCGAGGTCCTACTAGATATACTCAGGTTGTGAAAATATCCAACATCTAATATAATAAAATCAGGAATGTTATCATAATTTGTCTTATGTAGAACATATTGTCACATTAATTAGAGATTTCACTGGAATTGTGAGGACAAACAAATTCTTATGCTACACCGTCAGAATTGTAATCATACATTAACTAATTTAGAACTTGTTCTTCGCACTTACTTAGGGTTTCACTATATATAAATAATACAATAGAACAACCCATATCTAGTAAGACAGCATCAGAATTCTAATCAGGATTTGATTTATTTGACATATTTGCCTCCTATTTATCAAGGATTTCACTTAAAAATACATGGATCGTTAGAACAATTTATATATATATATATATGGATTATGTGATTGATTCGAAAAATTTTCACGTTGACTTGGGATTTCACTCAATAAGACCAAATTATTACACTAGCCAGAATCTACTAGAGAAACACTAGAATATTGCCCACAGTTTACATTATTAAGCACAGTTCTCTTCAGGATGCTGGTAGTTTTCTTTCTTTTTAGCACAAGCTGACCCGTTTTTAATTCCAAAATATCCGATTCCGATTAATCAAATAAAGCTGATTTCGAAGTACAATGTGGTGCGTGGGTCACTTTGAAGGTCCTTTCATCGCCAGAAACAATTTAACGGAAGAATAAAATATTTTTCGTTTACCATGTTGTGGTGTGACCTACTTATATTGATATAAGTAGTATATAACGTGCGTTAAAAGAACGTAATGTCCGGCAGCAGAAGATGGCGAAGATCAAGAAAGGAAGAGCAAGAACACAATGCAATTGTAAGAAAACGCATGTACAATGGAATGGGAGACAATGGATTAGTGTTTGCAACGGGAACAGTACAGTTTGATATGATGGAATGATATTTTGCAAATTGACGATTGACTTTATGGTATTCACATTATATTGAGATAGTCTGTAATTTTTGTGCTAAATACAGTCGGTTGTCCCCACCCGTGTTCTTGTTCACTACAATGTTATACTATCATTATACGATAATACGACGGTGACCTAGATTTTGCCACAGCTATAATAGATACCCGATAGATATGTCATATATAAACTGGATTACTTTATGTTAGATACACAATACACGATTAAATACAAACCGTTAGAGGGTAGACTAGGAAACCCTTTATTCGACAAAATTACAACTGATCACCACTCGCTGGGTTTAGAGTAGAAATTCATAACTGATAATGAAACGAAATATTTGTTAATTCATGTCTGACAGTCAATACTCAACGGCCAAGCACATCTCATTTTAGAGAAGTGAATATAATTAAACAATCACAAAAAGTAGATTGATTAGAAAATACATGACCACAGTTTTTAAGTAATTCACATTCATTACTCGGTTATTAGGAAAAGACTCAGTGATAATTAATGCCAACAGGTTATTTTCAAGTTAGTAACTAAATTTTCTGAAACCTAGAACAGATAAAAAACAAGAAACATTATGATATTAAACAAACTAGTTGTACATAATACTGAATTTATTTCTATCCTAAACGATGGCTGGATTTTGTTGGTGCATATTA